ACCTACTGTTCACTTGAATTTTTTCACTCAGAGGCCATCCAAAAAGTACGTAAGGCATTTTTTCCCATTTTTAGACCCCCTTTCCCTCGTAAGGCACCCTTTACCCTCCCCCCCTCTAAAAATTACGTAAGGCTTGACTGACTCCCCCTTTTTTTCAATTATCGCAAATCTACGCAGAACGTTTGCTTTTAGAGATACAATGAAATTTTCAGTCCAAAATTTTTATTAGTGAAACTAAATTTTTGAAGTAAGCTCGAAGGCTATATTAATGATACAATTAATTTTATAAAACGTGGAGCAAAATTGCAGATTTTTTTGGTCTTTGGAATAGTTAAAAGTATGAAGTTGACATTAGAATGAAGTCAATACTCATCATCCCACGGAGTGGAGAAGAGGGAATCAAGAGTAATGATAGGAGCAAGATCCGATCGGTCAGCAGTCGGCGATGTGCTGATTTCCTCTATTTCATCTTGAATTTTATTATCGACCTGACGAAAAATAAGTTTTTGCATTTTCTTTAAATGTAGGCTGGAAAGCTCACGTAAGGCTCAGCCCTATCCTCCCTCCCCCTCGTAAGGCACCGTAAGGCTGTTCGTGACCCCCCTCCTTGGACGGCCCCTCATTTGATTTTTATTTGACTTTTTGACCTATTTGACTATTTGACTATTTTTGACCTCATTTGACTTTTTTAAAGATCATACGAAGTGATAAAAGAAAAATTTCATGATTTGCCACCACAAACATCATAGGTACCAATAACAAAAAAAAAAAAAAAAAAAAAAAAAAAAAAAAAAAAAAAAAAATCCTCAATTGAGACTAATTCCGAGGTAGCTTGGGCTTTACCTAAAAATTGTACAACCCACGTCTTCCCTTTTGTATGTCATGTTTTTATGGTTGCGAATCATTATAATTCAATTCCTAGAATGGCTCTTTTCCAACGATTCTTTTGTTGCATCCTACTCACAGCTCGTGAAAATGATCCAGAGAAAATTGGCTCAACTCAAGAGCCATCGGAAATGGAAAAACAACGACGACATTATTTGAAAAATTCTCAAAATTATTTTTCGCCAGAATCTGATTAACTTACACACTTGTAATTTGATCCGCGTCACAAATTGCTCGGCTATTAATAGAATCAGTCGATGTCCTACATAGTCCCTATGATAATATCACAATAAATAGTTTAAAACAATATAGATTTATTCATGCATGATGGGTTTGCCTCTTTATGAGAAAATAATCGCTGACACATTGATACTGACTGCCTCCCAATGAATTAGTGCAAAAGAAAGAATTTCATTGCATTGGCCGCCAACATTGATCCAAACGTGCAATTTGATCGAAGAGATTCTCCATTAGGATTTTCGTGGCACCTTTTCTCATTCTATTATAGAGTAAACATGTTCTTTCTCGCGTTTGACTTCATGAGGCTCATACAGCATACAAAGGCGTAATCATGTCAATGTGCAGGAAGTAAGAATTTCAATATCCTGAGAAGTGGAATGATTTTGCAAGAATTTTGACTGAACAGTGTACCGATGCCGATTCTTGCAAGTTGGCAACACTGATTTTTCCATTTAAAGCCATCATAAAACGATTTTAAATGTACGTGTATTTAAATGAAAAAAATTCAGTGTTGCCAATTTGCAAAGACTGCCACTCAGCGTGGTTAGTCCGACCATCCGCGAACTCCCCCCATTCATGCGAATGTGAGCTTGTATGAAACTGGTCGAAAGATGTATCAATTAACTAAACTATAACTATTAACTATTTAAAACTTAACTATTTACACATAGTAAGCTGCATGCAGCCACTGTGGTGGTGAACTAATTTACGTGAAGACAAGTTCTTACCCGCAAAAGTGGAGATATGTGGTAAATCTCCCACGAAAGTGGAGAGGTGAAAGTCGGAATCTATGTAGCAACTGGAAATTGAAATTTTTCGAAATTTCTGGCCAAAATATTTCCTTAGTGTCCAAATTCTGGGAGATAGGAGGAGGGATTCAAAACTCAGAAATACATTTATCGCTAAAAAGCTGATCAACGGTCCTCTGAACTAATATGGGCCAGAAGATACATTTGCTAACTTTTCTACAGCTGCGTTCAAGTCTCCAAAGCAATCAATTGTGAGTGCGGTGTCTAGGGTATGGGGTTTATTTATTTCGATTATGTGGGACATGGAATCGCACTGAGTGACAATTGGTTCCATCCATGAAAGAAAGAATTAACCTAAAATTTGAGCCAATTTAGAGAATTTTTAGATTACCTTCCAGAGCATTAAGAATTCCAGAAAAAAATATATTGGTTTAGATGAAGAAGGGGGGCTGAACCGTGGAAATGCGTTTTTTGGCTATAAAATGCATTCGAATGAAATCGACCAGCTGACCAGCTCTTAGTAAAGTATCTGAAGACCTATTTGGAACGATACAATTACGCTTTTAACCCATGGACGGGGGTAAAGGGTCACACCTCAGCCGCTTTGAGGCGCCACGCCGCGCCGCATGCAGCGAAATGATCGCATTTTGACACTTTCTCATCGAACTCAAAACGAGTGTTGTGAGGTTGAGAGGGCAACAGTACATCACAAATTTAAAAAAAAATAATATGTAATAGTTTCTTTAGCCTTTAAGAATTATTTTTAGCCCTTCGCACTGTTGCCAAGATCACTGAAGTACAGAATAAAATTTACAATAATTTCGTCTCATGCTCGAGTAAATTTGGCAGAAGTGTAAAGGGCCTCGGTTTTACTCGTTTTTATCATCAACACAAATGTTGGATGTAGGAACCCTGCCAGACCATAGCATGACTACCGAAACTATGTGCGTTCACTCCTAGAGATATACCTACCAAGAGGAACGTTTTTCCAAAGACAATAATGTCACTGCTAGTTTCAGAATGCCTCCATTGAATCGAACTCTCCCGAAAAAGTAATTAACATATTCATGAGTCAAGCAGTGAAGTGGAATCTTACTGTCTAAGAAAATAGTTTTTTTCAAAATACGTACCATAGTTAAAATCAACTAAAAACAGTTTCGACAGAAAATGATCTTAAACATGGTGCAAATCGATTTCGTTTCTATTTTGATGAGAGTCATTGGGGTACTCTTTTGATAGTAACCATAGGGAAGAAGTGAGATCATCCTAATTTTTAAACACGTTCCTATTTAAAAATCAAAGAATTTTCACTCATTCTCTAAATATAGACATCAACGTGTAATTTTGAGCTTTCGAAAAAGAGAGCATCAAAGTATTATTTGCTTACCTTGACGTGATAATATTAAAATATTAACTTGGTAATTTTAGTGCTCATTCTTGGGAGATAAGGCTCATCCGTATAGCTCTATTTACACTTTGCGGTAGTAAAGTAATTTCTAAGAATCCATATCAACGAATAAAAATAAATGAGATTAAGAAAACACCGAGGTAAAAGTTGAGTTAATTCAATTCATAAAGTAAAGCGCTCAAACCGCAGAAAATTAATGTGATCTGATTGAGCACTGACAAAAAGGCTTTTTGTTAACTTGACATTATGACGCAAAAGGTCAAGCAGACGATTACTTTTCATACCTCATAATGTCTTCAGATCTCCGCTGTCTCACTGCAGACAGCAGCGCATGGCAATGGTCAGATCGTGCGATGGGAAAATAAACTCATATTTTGCCTTCAATTCCTTGGGTATGCAACAAATCACTCTTGAACTGCGCGCGATCAGTTTTTTCCTCTTTCAGGCTGAGAGTGTGCAAGGTCTGTCTGGTTGATCTAATTACATTCCTCTCTTTCCGCACTCTCAAGCAATGTCAATATTTTTTTCCTCTAAATTTTTGAAATTACTCCTTAAACTTCAGGGTTGACGTAAATGTAGATATCAATTTATAAAATTAATATTCGAAGCTCTCTATGCACTATACAATAATTATTATTCTTAGAAAATGAAAAAAAAAAATGAAATGTATAAATTGAACGATAAATAAAGGAAACTGCGTGAGGGAATTAGTTGGTACATAGTAATTCCCTTAAATAATCATTTTTGACATGCAGATATCTATACTATAAGCTCCGAGACCTCCTAAATTTTCACATCTGGTAACGCTCAGTTCCAAAGTTCTACCGGGCCGATTTTCATGATTTTGGCGACTATGGACAGGCAATTGTCTCTAAATGAGCCCGCTCTATTCATTTTTAGAAAATATGACCCATGTTCTTTTATACTACGTGGTAAAGTTGCGAATTTTCCCATTCAAACAATGTAAATTTTTATTTTTTGTCACAGTCCGTTTGAGCCTTCTACGACGACGATTTCCATGATTTTGCGGCTATTGACAGGCGATAGTTCCTAGAAGGGCCCGCTGTTATCAGATTTTGGAAGTAGGACCCACGTTTTATCATATAAGAGTAGACCAGGGAGCGTAGAAAGGGAGGCAAAATTTGAAATTCCCAGCAATGAAAAATGGCGGGAATTTCAAATTTAGCAGAAAATTGAACAAAGCGGAAATGCTGAATCTTTGTCTGATGTTAGTTTGGCAAGATAAGCGAATCGAAGATATGCCTATTTTCTATAGACTATCCAAAAGCGACGAAACGCTTCGTTCCGTTTCGTTTCAGCCTTGGCGTGAAGTATGAAATAAATGCCGATTTTTATATTCGATTCTTATCAGTCCAATCGCTCCCGGCCAGAAGGAGATTGGACAAATGAGAGTCAAATATGAAAATCTGTTCATTTTTTTGGGTCATTCTTGTGTCAAAGCGGGCCCCCCTCTGGGGGTTGAGCCGCGTAGCAGCCAGGGGGCATGCCGGCGTACCCGCATACCCCCTAGTATAGTTTATGCTTTCTTTGTTAAAGGAAAACGATAATTAGGGCTATTGTGATCTTACTTGTTAGGATTAGGTTTTGAGCTTTTTCCAGAATGTAACAATAGTGCGAACAACGGACGTCATGGAGTGTTCCCATGGCTTTTACTATCGTTGAACCGATCGGAGAAAATAGAAAGAGTTAAGCCTGTATTACTGAAAAAGGGTTTTATTGGAATAGGTACCCATAAGGTCATCATGAGAGATGTTCGCCCTTCAGAGAGTCCTTTTTTTTTGTTTCTTTTTGATATGGTTGATAAAGTGACATCATCCAAAGGGCTCAAAGGGTAACGGTAACACAACTACACAAAACAAACAAATAGTATAATATAATTATGATGCCTAAGTTAAATCAACAAGTATTTCGGCACATTTTAATTTAGGCACGTTTTGTCAGTTTTTTTCTTTCCTCGGTTTTTCGTGAGCAGGCAGGAAACCATCTGCAAAAAAAAAACAGGGGTACAGTAAAAACAATTCTGCAGAGTTAAAAGGAAAATATGTTCGGCTGAAGCAATGTTTGTGATACCTAAGTTAAGGCAGGTCAAAATAAGAGACTCATCGTTTCTACATACTTTTTTATCCGTCCGCAGTTTCGCCATATTTTGGTAGCCGAAACCAACAATCTCGATTCTAGCTGCCAAGCCTCTGGAGTGAGAATATTTTTGAAAAACGGTTTAACCTTTGATCGTCGGTAAAGTAGAAAATTTGGAAATGTGCGGAGCGGAGTAAAGAAATGAGACGTTTTGGAGTGTACTTTGGACATTTTTGATATATCTCAGGTGATTTTTGTGTGATTGTAACCACAGTAAATCTACGCACGTCGGTTGCAGCTATTGTATACAATAGAGCATGTCCTATTAAAAATGAAAAACGCATCATCTTTTGTATACTATAGAACATTGTACTGACCATTCTTTTTTCAGACTTTCTGTAAATTGGACGCTGGAGGCGACAAGATTCGCCACCGCATTTTGCTCCTGCACAGCCGAAATTTTTCAGAGTCAATAATAACAATCGTAATCTACGAATATTTTTTAAGGAACTAAACCATAAGACCACGAACTAACTTGAGCCAAAATGTGAATTTGCCTACTTTCTTTACACAGCGTTTAAGTCTCCAAAGGAGTCAACCCTGAGTGGATGCGGATGCGTATCATATCATTTAATTACTTCTGTTCAATTTCATTTCACTGCGAATCACCAGCAGTTTTTTTATGTAAAATAGCATTCTTAAAAACATAAAACACCACATACAACAGCTCAACGTAGTGACTTTTATTTTACCGTAACAGTCAACAAAAAAAAAGTCTGCGCAATTTTAGATCGCGACAGAAAATCCTCCATCTTGATTCTTGTAATTCTTGTATTCACTTTTAATGTTAAATTGAAGACAGCTGAACTTCTGTCGTACCTACTTCAAATCTGCTGTGATAGCGAAGAGAGCTTTAGTGCAACAATGAAGTTTTGAGGAATGGGCTCATTAGCAGCTGAGCTGTAAATTTTATTGAAAGGAGCCTCCGTTCTTTGTCAAATTGCCACCAATCATCCGAACGACTCTCAGAAATTATTTGGATTATTAAAAATCGACGAACTTTATTTCAAGTACATAAAACGGGTATTTTTCATTTTTCAGTTGGGCAAAACAGCCTTGAGTGCTATCTTCTGCATGCTTTTGTGGTTGCGTTTTGGACACATGGGTATCAAATTTTCAGCTTAGAAGTGGCATAAAAGGATGCCATTTTCCTCGGAAGCGCTGTTTTTATCGGCTCTTTACGGCTGTTTTTTCTAAAACAGCGTCAATTTCTGCGCATTTATAACTTTCTCATGTGTCTCGTTTTCATAAAAATAAGACGAATTTTGAAGGAAACCCGATTTTGTAAATTTGAGAGGTAGCGTCTCTCTTCAAATTCTCGTAAGAAATGTGCGTAAACTTATTTAGCGTGTACACTGGGAAAGTTGAGCTGTTGCATGTGTCCGGCATTAGTGTTTTAAATACTAATTTCAAGGTGAGATTTTGCGAAAAACGCGATGGTGCCACTGGTTTTCTCTGAAATCAACTCCAAAGCTCGGAAAAAGCTCTCAAAGTTGTATCTTCATTTCCATGTGAGTCCTGTATTACATATAGAGCCATGCTTTCTGGGGTTCAAGTGGAAATTGAGGTACGCCCTTACGTTAGAGGGACGGCGAATTGCCCCATGTCGGTATTACGTTGGATCCTCATGAAGGAAAGAAATATGAAGCTGACTTTTTGATGCTCAAAAATTGGAATTTGGGAGCTAATTTTTCACAGAATATGCATTTAGACTAGTTTTACCCGGAATCATTACCTAATATCTCAATTTTTTCAAAAATCGCACTCTTTCAAAAATCGCAATTTTCAAAATTCCGGCAATGGAGATGTTGCATGTGTGAGGAATTTGCGATTTGACTATCGATTCGTATACAAAGGTTCGCGAGAAACACGATGGTGCCACTGGTTTTCTCTGAAATCAACTCATAAGCTCCAAAAAAGCTCTCAAGTTGAGGTCAGAATGGAGGAGATATCCCACGCTATCCTGCGAGTCCACCTCTACATCAAGACAAAGTATCCATGAAGATAGGGAGGAAATACATTGACAGGGTTGCCGTGTTTTCAGTTTTAGAGTCCCCAAATAAAGTGGCAGCCCTGTCAATGTATTTGCTCCCTATCTTTGCATGGTGTGTTTGTCTTGATGTAGAGGTGGACTCTCAGGATAGCGTGGAGTATCCCCTTCATTTTGGCCTCAACTTGAGAGCTTTTTTTGAGCTTGGGAGTTGATTTCAGAGAAAACCAGTGGGACTATCGTGTTTTTTTGCAAATTTTTATGTAAGAAGAATTGCCTAAATTTCAAACCTCTCACGCATGCAGGAGCTCCACTGCAATAGACGCCTACGTTAGAAGAGGTCCCTGGTAAAAGTCGAGCATAATGACCTCGTCATTGAGACATCACAATGCTACATGGAACAAATCTCCATAATTTCACTCTGATATCAATCTGACTTCACTCCGACATAATTCTGACCATTCAGACATCACTATGATGACACTGTGATGGCAGAGTGATCAGCGGACGTCACTGTGATGTTAGAATGCTTTATGAAACATATAGTGGATGTCAATACTGCCGTCCAAAGCAATAATGCAGTATCTCCATGCGACATTTTTCCGCTATTGTTCTGACAAAATACTATTTCACAAGAAAACAAGCAAGTATTAATCCTTCATATTTCCAGGTCAGTGTTGGCATACCATTTGGAACTCAAAATGGATCACTAGATAAAGCACGAATTTAAGCATCTTGATACATGTTTCATAAGCAGAATTTCACGTAGAACATGATCTGCGCAATGAAAATGACTGAAACCAACTCCTAACGGAGATATTAACATTTTTATTTCACACTGGTTGCGAGGAATTTGAACTGCCCGCTCACAAGAAAATCAAAGCTCTACGTGAGTCAAATGGCGCACTATAACGGTTTCAGCAAGCTGCTCAATCGAGCAATGTTCATTTCCCACCATGTGTTATAAAACTATAAGTAATTTGCTATAGCTGAGCCAAAGCGTCAAGATTGAGGTTGCCAGATTTTTTTTATCGCAGAGACTGTCATGATAACGTTTAGCGCGCGATGTGAATCACGTAGAGCATTGAGTTTTCATGAGCGGGTGGTTTGAATTCACACTTCAAGAATAATTAAATATCCTGGGAAGGAGTTGATTCCGGTAATTTCCGCTGTGAACATCGTGTTTTACGTAAAATTTTGGTGGGGAAACATTTATCAGAATGCTGAAATTCGTACCTTGTCTAGTGGTCCATTGTGAAAATGAGGTCTTATCACACTCGGATTTTCTTGTATCAGAGAAGTATGTGTGGAGGAAAAATACAACATTTTCAATGGAGTTACGGCGTTATTGCTGTGGACGACAGAACATGACATCGGAGTGATGTCACAATGTCCCACTTTGACTAGGGGGTGGAAATTCAGGGGAGTATCTACCTCGGGAGCTTCATGATCAGGTGAGCTGGGAGAGGTTGAGATCCTGTATGCCGAGTTCGATTTTCTTGGTGCGACTCCATTCGTCGAAGCGGTCGATGAGGTGCTGGGGCATGGCCTCCCGGAAGCCGCCGGACTTGCCCTTCCGGACGAAGGAGAGGTCCGGGTCCTCCTTGCACATGCCGTGCTTCTCCTTCAGGTCCACGATGAAGTCCTCGCCGTTCACGGCTGCGTTTTTCTTCATCGAGGGGAACTTGAGGTGCTCAGCCAGCCTCGCTACCTCACTTTCCGTGTACTCTCTCCCCAGGAATGCTGCTGTTCGCCGGATCACCCCAGCCAAGTCCTATTCAAAACAGTGCCGAAGTATCAGTTCTCATGTAGGTTTAAACATGCGCGCTTTCTGACTTTTAAAATGGGCCGCGTCGTCTCACAGAAAGGAACCAAGCCAAATCAGCCACTGCCAAATTTAACTGAACAATTTAATTTTTTACGAGAGAACATTAATTTGTGCGGATTTCTTTGAAAATTTTACAAGGAATTCGCTTCGTACTGTGGAGAAAATTCACCGAAATTTGAAAGAAAATTCGCACAACCCTGTCTATGTAAAATATTAAATTGCCCTGTTAAATTTGGCAATAGCTGGTGTGGCATGGTTCAAACTGTTTGAGCTCCCCTAAAAAAAATAGCAGATCAACCAAAGACTTCGAACACGGCCCTAAGTATTTGGAAATGATAGCAAAGGCTTATAGAGGAGTCTTAGGGCATAAAATGGCTTACTTTAAATTTTAAAATTTGAAACCGAAAATTTTGATTAATATTTATAATTTACAAGTACATGTATCCTGAGTGAAAGGGTGGGGACAGAGGGTTTTAGAAGATATGAGGGTTTGCCAACTCCCTGAAGGGCTTTGGGAGGATAGGGGACTTTGGCGGCAAGGTGTTGCAAAGCGCCAGAGAGCGCTATAAAAGCGGCCTTATACATACATACATGTATCCTGCTTATGATTCAGAGTTTTGTTACATCTATGCAAATTGAAAATATCGAAAGTATTGGGGGAGTCAAAGATTTCTATAGATATCTTCCATGAAAATAGCTCCAACATAACTAACACGGCTCCTCAACTAAAATATTTACGAAGGAAGAATGTCTACTTACGTTTGTCATATCTTCATAGGAGTTAATTAATACATTAGGCAGATGAGATAATTTTACATAACCGGCAATATGCTCCCAGAACGGGCTGTAGACCACTGAAACATAAAATATGAAATTGAGAGATTTTAACATGAATGAGGCATTCAGCTGCTTTAAGTTTGAAACACCTCTCCACGAGGAAACTTTGAAAAAAGTATTTAAATTTTCTAATAATGAACTAATGAGTATTTTTCAATTTGAAAAATAAATTATAGAATACAGAAAGTCTGCTGCGTCACAACGTAGACACGCGCTTTTGCAGTTTCACTGACGTTTTATTGATGGTAAAAGTCACAAAACAAGGATCTCGATTGTCAACGTTTCAGACTTTTTGCGAAATATTATTTTTTCAAAGGAAAACCGATGGACATTATTACTTGAGAATTTACTGATTTTGATACATCCTGTGCAGAATATTCTGCATGAGAAAATTTTGAATAATGACGTTCATCAAACTTTGAAAAACTCGAACTCAACAGCGGAGTTGGGAACATCGTAATCGAGGTATACGTGTTTTTCACCATTCACCATCGATATGTGACCGTTCAAGGGAGATGGAACTTTTTTACGCAAAATCTAAAGCTCTTGATAGTTGAACATAGCAAAGCACACCAACATGAGAATATTTCGGAACAAAAAATTCCAAGTTAAGCCGGCGTTATGATGTTTTCAAGTTTTCAGCCCGTAAAACGTCGTCTCGAGAAAATACTTGACATGTTCAGTAGGCGATAATATACCGGATTATACTGGAACTTCACTCCCTGTATCAACAGTGAAATTAATTAAAATGCCAGCACCTTGTTTCTTAGGGCACTTATCTAAATCTTAAAACCCGACTTGAACATTTATAAACTGAGAATTAAGTTGTCTACTACCGTCGACCGAACCATACTTGAAAAAACTGATCAAGTATAAATGACCAGCCTGCTGAACCTCACAGGTTGCTCTTGCTGTAATAAATTAAGAAATTACTCACATTTGTCTTGTAGGAATCCTTCGATGAAGTCCTCGTATGAGCCGGAGTAACCGTTCCACAGGCGATGGTGGTGATAATAGGAAATGGCTACGTCTTTAGGGTCTCGTGTGACATAGATGAGCTATTCAACAGAAACCAAATAGAAAATGAAAGGGCTTTGTCGAGGAAAGGTAAGTCATTTGAACGTATTTGTATCAAACGGAACTTTGTGCATTATGACGTGAGCCCTGATATGCACATATTCTTATGGGCCTCAGGGCTGATGTCTTAATGCACATAGTTCTGTTTGGCCGAAATGCGCCCATTTCATCGTTCCTTATTGAAACATCGAAACTTGTTTTGTAGAATTTTTTATGACTGTTTGAGGAGTTCATATCTGCAATGAAATGTGAAAAATGATGCTTATTTTACACTTTTGAAATTGGAGTGAGATGACGACACATGGGAAGCGAGACAAACTACATAGGTTGTCCCAAAAGTACTGCACGTTTTTTTCTTATTGACGAACGGTAGTAGATATCAAAATGCGGTTTGTGTAGCCTTAAAGACCGGCCAATTACCGATAAAACAAGACAAATCCGAGCTCTCTAAGTCAAAAAATGACCAAGTTACAGCGTTTTGAAAATGACTTGCAGAGGGGACCCCTACGGAATTTTCAGCTTCTTTTCTGGAAAAAAAAACAAGCAGTGAACTCCAACACAATGTGTTGATAAGGCGCGTCATTAACTCGCACATATCAACCCCTTTAGTTTTCATTTACAGAGATTTCAAAATAGGCAAACAGCATAAAAAGAGAATTCACGATCCAACACTGCGAGGTCAAAGACGCACCTTGACGAGACCGTGTATTGTGAAAGTAGAAAGCTATTCGATCGAATTTAAGTTTTTTGATCTGCCTCAAGCAAAATCTTATCAGATTCTTGAAGAAAAGTGCTACGGAATAATTTAAGCGAAGAAAGGAAAAATTCTGTCGAACTCCTAGAAGATAAAGTCGATTTAAAGGTATTTTGGGGCTAAAATACCCAAATCACCGGTAGTAAAAATCCCGTTATATTATTGAAAAGAAATTGACTCGATATAAATGCAATTGCATTAAATACGTCTTGATTTTGTTATTTTAAACGTCTTTCCATGCAAAGAAGTTCAACCATGTCGTTGCTTTATTCATTCATGAATTGAAAGTAAGCAATCTACATCCCGAAAATCTACTGATTTGCCGTAAAAAATTGCAGAAACTTGATATACCAGGTCGATGCACCCACTCGTTGAATTTACCAACCAATTTTGTGAGTGCAAATGTGTAAGAATCAATATGCTATAGTCATTTTGGGTGCATTTATTTTTCATGAAACAATAATAATTTCAATCCCGAAAAACCATCAATTTTCCGTATAAAATCGAAAAAATCAAAATATGTCAACTCCCCGACGTGAAAATTAGATTCTACGTATGTAAAATGTAAATACTTATGTATCGATATGCTGAACAGAACTATGTGTGGACAGTCAGAAGCCCGCGGCAACATTAATTCAACAGAAAAACTGTAAAAATTAGATAGGATTTTAGCCGCTTTGCCCGCCTCTCCTCGCTACTTACAACAAACCGTTCTTATACTCATCTCAAAATTTTTCTCAGAGCTTTGGGTTATTATCAGCTTCCATTTAAACTCCGGTTCGATGGCCGAATCGGCTGCCAAAAAAGCAAGCCACTGTTGAGGGGTTCTATGAGAAATTCGTGATATTATCGGCTCTCAGGAAATCACCCCATGGCTAAAATTGGTGGTATAAATGTTTAAGTGCTTAAAATAATCGTATTCAAGAAACTAAGGAATTAAACTATGGAGTCAATTTCTTTTTAATAATATAACGAATTTACTACCGGTGATTTAGCTATTATAGCCCCAGAATACTTTTAAAGCGCCTTTGCGTTCCAGAATCTCGACGGAATTTTTTTTTTTTTTTTTTTTGCTTAAACGATTCAAGAAACATTGTAGTTAAAAATATAAAGATTTTTCGATTTGGACGTATGAAAAATGTTTAACTCGTTCAGGCACACCGTGTATTGTATGGAGTACTGCTGTTATTCGACCGTTGTCTTCAGGTCAAAATTCTTACAAAGAAGCCCCTTGCAAGAGGCAAATTTTTTGTAATTTCTCCCAGTTTTTTCAGCGTTAGGTATATAAATGAATTGTTTGTCAAATTTTGAGGTCAATTATATTTAATTGTAATTTATACTTTCTTTTTTTCCCCTTCATTTTATTTTTCGTATCGAGGAGTCGAGGTTTTGTTGATTTCTTCGGATTTCGATTACTGTAACTTCTCTTCTATTCGGCCGATTTTTATGAATGAGGTCTCTTTTTATTTGTGTTTTAACGGAGAGTAAGGAAAAAATTGCTAAATACATGCGAAACAATTTTTTTTGAAAATTGGATGAATCCTAGCGTGACGGTGAAATGGTTAATGAAGCGTGAGTAATTGGGGTACGGGTATCGGCCGCGTTGGGACCCAAGGCCCATTGTTCTTCGTGACGCCGACGCAGTGATCAGGAGCGTGGGGACGAGAGGGCTTAGTGGACTCCTGTATGAGCCACGTTTAGCAAATGGTCTAATGAGTCTCGAGGCTCATCACAGATTGCACTTACCACTATCCTGGTGGCCCCGGCTATCAGAGCAAGGAGTACCAACTTTTGAAAAGGATAACAGTGTTGTGGAGATATGTCAAAGCAACGTTGTGAACAAAACGGAGTGAGTGAAATTCTCATTCAAGGAGTGCCGAACTGGTCAGCCATCCTCGAATCAGTTCGCTTGCTTCCGCTTATATATGCATATTTTAAATCAGCGCGCCCCATTCTAAGGTTTTTTTAAAAAAAACCAAGAAACGTAGACTCTTGGTATTCATTACACATAAACTAGCGAGCCCCAGAATGAGAAACAAATTTTAATCATTATTATTGACGGATTAGTAAACTTTTTACACGCTTTGGAAAATCTCAGAAGTTCGCGGTAGTCACTTTTCGGTAAGGAACTAGGGGACTCGGTTATTGTATCGAGGGGGGGGGGTCGAAACGATCGCAAAGGCGGTATACTACGTATACGCGCCAACAAAGAATTAAGGATTCAAGTGGTTTTATTAAATCAATTTTGCAGAATCTTACCAAGATTACTAGCATTTACTGTTCTTCACTGGATGACTGGACACTAGTTTCCTTCTCAAAATACCCTCCATCACTTGCCACACAGCGCCGCAACCGTTCTTCCCAACTCTTCAAAGATGGTTTTTTCGAATTCTTCTTGCCTAATGTTCTTTAAGAAAGTTTCAACAGCTCTTTTCATCTCGTTGATGGAGTTAAACTTCCTGCCTCTTAAGCCCTTTTTCAACGTAGGGAATAACCAAAAATCGCAGGGTGCAAGGTCCGGGCTGATATCATGTTACCAACTTCATTCGATCGCGACGATTTCTCTGTAGAATTTTTGATCAATCAAATCTTTGTTTTTTCCAGAAAAGAAGCTAAAAATCCTGGAGGGGTCACCTCTACAAGTCATTTTCAAAACACTGTAACTTGGTCATTTTTTGACTTAGAGATCTCAGATTTGTCTTCTTTTATTGGTAATTGGCCGGTCTTTAAGACTACACAAACCGCGCATTTTGATATCTACTACCGTTCGTCAATAAGAAAAAAACAATCAACTCTTTGTTTTTTTCCAGAAAAGAAGCTGAAAATTCCGTAGGGGTCCCCTCTACAAGTCATTTTCAAAACGCTGTAACTTGGTCATTTTTTGACTTAGAGAGCTTGGATTGGTCTTATTTTACCGGTAATTGGCCGGTCTTTAAGACTACTTAAACCGCATTTTGATATCTACTACCCTTCGTCAATAAGAAAAAAACGTGCAGTACTTTTGGGACAACCTATGTATATGATATCTTCGTTTACGGTGGTGGAGGTCACTCGGTCATAGAAAGCAATGCTGACGTTACGCAACCCTTGGAAGAGTACATTGTGATCTATGATGAAGTAAAAACTTTCAAAACTTGTTTACTCGATACCTTAATTGCAATAATGACAGGAGATCAATTCCGGTTAGCGTGAAAAATCTTATTTTTTGTCCTCATTCCTGAATGATTGTACATATCTAGTGGAATGTAACCGTTTCAGCTTTTTTCTTTCCGGCCAAAAATTGAATATCTTGGGAGTTTTTACTGACCATTTCTGAGCCTTTAAAGGCCTTCATACAAAACAACATCAAATCGATATGTAGGCATCAATGCTCGGAGAAGTGACGAACAAAATTTTTGGCACGAAAAATTGTCAAAGCAAAACAACCAAAAACTGTCAAAAATGTTCAAACTGGAATCAAGTAATGAAAAATTGAAGTTTTTTTTACAAAAACCTTGCTTTGACTACTTTGAGAAAAAATAATTAAAGTATTAGTCTGTTATATTTTGGGCTGTTAATTGCTGCATGAAAATACAACTTTACGCTCTCTAGCCTATATAACTGTTCGAAAATCACTCTTCAGGAGATTAGAGTTTCATTCCATCAGGAATTTAAATTTCGATTATGCTATCCGACTTGCCTAAGTTTTACTTCAAGAAATTGTCCTACATACATAAAGATCCTTTTTAATTTGAACTGTAACTTTTAGCATGATACAATGTAGATTGTTTTACTTGTATTTGAATGGACAAAATCTACTGTTGCAGCCTGGGGGGGGGGGGGTGTATCACTTACCTTAGGTTTTCTCGTCCAGATTTCGAGAGGAAGAAGTCTGGCGGGAAGGTGGGTCTTGATTACACGAGGTGATGGCTGCTCATGTGTGAAGGCGATTGTGTCTCCGAATATGTCTTTCTCGTTCTCATCTTTTACCAGAAAGTCCTGTGTCACTAAACTTACTGCTCTGAAAGACACACAAAATTCGGGTTGTTGTAAGCCCTCTAGTAGAATTGGACGTATTTCTGCCAAACGAAACTATGCGCATTAAGACATCATGAGTCCTGAAGCCCATGAGAATATATGCGTAACAGGGCTCACGTCATAATGCACATAGTTCCGCTTGGCAAAAATACACCCAAATGACAGTTTAAGTAGGTAAAAAAAAATTCATCGATTTCAAGGAGGGAGAATTTTGAAAAAAAAAATTGTAATAAATACCAAGTAGCAAAACATTCTCTGATTTTTTTTTCACGAAAGAATAATTCCGCAATACATTTCTTCTCTTATTTTATTCTATAACATATAATCATATGAGTAACGCATAACACGCCTCAGGGAGTTTAATTCCCTAGTTTCGATGATTTTTGACACAAATTCAACCTAGATTGTGAGTTTTGCATATTCCAAGCATTTATTGCATTTTACTTTCCATTTGGCATCGATATAAACGAATTTTAAAATTGAAACCAAATTTTGATGTCAACTTTTTTACGACTTTACGTGAACTCAACATTCATTCCATGTGAGGAATCCGAAAGGGGTTTCTCTAATTCGCACATTTCAACAAGTGTGTTAGTTCGTATTTTACTTATTCTCATTTACTTAGGTCCAAATTTAAGTATCAATGCAATCAGGCATATCTGAATGAAGCGAGTTGTTTAAGGCTCTCGATAAAAGTTATACATAATTTGTGAGGAATTGGTAATTTGCGCAACTTATGTAATAAAAGATTATGGTGGGAGTTTACCAATATCAACCGCCACTAAAAGCGTCGTCGGTCAGTATTTCGGATGCAGACGCGATGTTTCCTGATGAAAACTCTTGGATACAACTATTCGTGTTCAACGGATGTCCGTGCTGTATACACACGAATTTGAAGGCGCTCCGGATTTTCTTTCCGTGCCTGTCGAGACAGTTGAGCAACGCGTCACTTTGAGATTGTTTTCATTGCCGTCTTTGCTGTCGCGTTTTTCTGTTTCGCTTACTAATCAATGATGAGATTTAACTCTGATTAGCAAGGTACCTCAAGGATAAACAAGATTGCGAAAATCGTATTTTTTTGCCAGAGGATTCGTTGGCATTTCAGACGGATAAATGTTGCGTTTCGCGCAGCTTTCAGCATAAGTGAAACTAGATTTAGTAGTTATTTTAAACTGTGCGTCAGTGCTAGTTATCTCTTCAGTTTAATCTCTAATGTTCGTGAAGGAGGTAGGTGCTTGTTATACGCTGCCCTGAGGGGGGGGGGGGGTACTTTTTTGCCTGCTCTCTACGATGAAGTGTCAAATTGTAATTTGACACTTATAGGATACTTATATATTTAGGATTTATTCACATGAAAGTATGAAAGAAGAGCAAGGAAAGGGGTAGTTGAATTTCATAGATTAGAGATAATTATCCATCATATATTGTATATGTAACTTCTTGTCCTCTGCAGTGCTCCAGTTACATATAACATCAGGGCCCTGGTAAAAATTGGCGATAGGAGCTACGTTTCAAAGTACCATAGGGGTTCTTATAGCCGACTAAAGAAGGCTACAGAAAATTCATATAGCTGGCTGTAGAAAGTGAAAAAAATTATACGGCCGGGCTACACGAAGCGATAAAAAATTATACAGCCGGGCTATAGTTCCTGTCGCCGGGCTTTACACTTTATCGCCTGGCTGTTGCTTTTTCGCCATCGGCTATAAAAGGCCATAAGAAATTGTGTAGGAATTCGTGTATCATTAAGTTTGATACGGAATCACCTTAATATTTACAAAACGCACATTATATTTTCCTTTACTACATATTTTTTTTTTTCATCAATTAAAATGAGAATAATCCATACAGAGTGTGCAAACATTTCAAAGTCATGAGTTGAAAAACGCTGACTCCACTAGATTACATATTAGAGCCTAACACAAAGCGGAGCGGCGACGCACTGGCGCCTTCAAACCTAACACGGATACTTCACGCATTGCGCAATGCGTGAAGTATCCCTGTTCGGTTTGAAGGCGCTAATGCGTGTTCCGCGCCGCGCCGCAGCGTACCACGGCGCTTAACGCAACTATTGCACACCAGGGGTATTGCACAGTATCATACAAAATTGCAAGCGCTCCAACATGTTAGGAATGGCAGGCATCCTTCAAAAGTACGGAGCTTTCCTCGCAAAATAAACCAAGATACTACGGTCCAAAAAGAGAGCGGTAGTCCAAAAACTCACTAAGTCCTAGCATCCGTAATTAGTAAAGTTTAGCATACACTTTATCGCCAGGCTGTTGCTTAGTCGCCATCGGCTATAAAAGGGTATAAGAAATTGTGTTGCCGGCTTTAGAAGCTTTAGGAAATCTTACAGCCGGCTGTAGGTCTATGGTATTTTGGAACCCAGATTCTACTGCCAATTTAACCCAGNGGGGGGGGGGGGAGGAGAAGTGTGAGGTTTTTATCTACTCAATAAAATATGTTTTCAACGAAGTTATTACTTACTCGAAAAATGGCACTCTCTCCAAAAGTAATTTGTCTTTGGCCGTTTCGAAATCTAGATTGTTTTCAAGCAACCAAACCATTTCTTGAGTCCAGGTGGTTCCTGAAATTCAGAAAATAACATTCAAATAATGATAAAAAAAAAGAGAAAAAAAACCAAAGACAGTCCAATATAATTTATTAAACTGACAAAGTTCCCAGTGATAAATTAAAATGAACAATCCTTACTTTAACGCATCGGTTAAATCTGCCGCTCTGATGATACTTCATTATATAATGAATGCGCAGAGTTTGCAAGAGTTGTTTTTGAAACATTTAAAGATGTCAAAGATTTCGAGGTAAGAAGGATCAGAATCAAAATTAAACACGGTTTAGAACGCTTGAAAAGCGAAATGAAGTGTCATTTAGAGAACATCTGATATATTCTATTACCTTTCTGAAATCGACTTATATAGCGTGAAATTAGAGACAACAACCCAGGAGAGGGACCACAAATCATTGGGACTTCAAAAATTCTATCAGAAATATTTGAAATCTGTAATTTCTGTCATACTTTTGACAATTTCGCATGATTATCTGCAGGCTATAACAATGAGTCCCATTTTTGCTGGTCTGTCATTTAAAGAAAGAAAGAAAGAAAGAAAGAAAGAAAAAAAAACGCGCGACCATCGTTAGAACCCTCCTTTTCACCTCTTGTTTTGACAGTCCTTTTCCCTCTGCAAATCAATTTTACTTTTATATTTTTTAATTCACTCGTTCCATAATTTATAATTTGAAGTGGTTAAAATAAAGGAGGCTCAATTGTGAAGCGAATGATATAATTTCCTTCTAACTTATTTCTTTATCGGTTCATCGATGTGTGTTCCAGATTGGCAGTTTCAGGGAATTTGTGTCAAAGCACCGAGGATATCACCAAAATTAAAGAAAAAAAAGTGAATTTCCTTGAGTAAGCAAATAAGTCTTACGTAGGACTTTACAACAGTGCAATGCAATATCAAGCTCACCCGGGTCTGATTCTGTATCGTGAAAAAGTCTAAATTGCAGGCGTGAATACCATCCGCACAGTTTGTCAGCGTTGCTGAGAGCAATGGCAATGTTGCCGAATTTTGCGTCATAATTTGTGTACTCTCGTTCAGTTACGAGGTGAAGGGGCGAGAACGATGATTTTCAGTTAAATCTGGCAACGAGGATTAATAGGGATTGCCCGTAAGGTGGTAACCGTGGCGGCGCGGCGTCAGAATTCGCGTTACGTACTAGCCTCGCCTTGTGCGACATGACGCATGCCTTGATGCGACCTTCACCCATGTTGTCACTACACACGACCAACTTTTCGCAAATTCCGAGTTACGTATAAGTTAGTGTGTAGTGCCAAAACTGTCGTGCTAAGGAAAACCCAGACGAGAATTTGGATGCTGTCGAACTAATATGTCTCATAGACCGTGAATCTTCTAGTGACTGTGAACTTTTTCTTTTGAAATTTTTGGAGAATTTGGGGATTGGAGGATTTTGTTTGCAAAGAGCCTGCAGAGCGTAAGAGAGACAGCTGAATGAGTGGACATATTTATGGTGGAATGGTACAAAAATCACGTTGATGACCTCATTAAAAATGTATAATATCCGCTCCTCAATATACTATCAGCAGATTTCATATCACTTATTTTCAAAACCAAGATCGCGAGAATTTCTCTTTTTTAATCAGTTGCCAGGTTTTTCCAGAGATGGATATAAGAAATCCGAAACTAGGTAAGTAAACAATTGCGCAAACTGTTTTTCCGGCATGATTTCAATTTTGTCAAGTGCTCGTTTTCCCCTTGATATAAAAACGTAATGGAGGTACATGTCTCACAACTATACCTACTATAAGAGTAAAACCGCAACACCCATACAAATTCACTTAATCATAATACGGATTGCAGAGTATCGATTCGGGAGTTAAGTTCTATCTGTGATCTGGAATATTTTGAGTTCACATTATGGCAACATTGCTCATTTTAAACTCTCAAGTTCATCGCTTTGTCGGTCAATGTGCCAATCAGGAGTTTCTTGCAATAAATACACGAGCCATGCAGCGTCTGTGCACATCACCAATTAAAACGATTTTATCACCTGTTTTGTAACAATTTATCTGTTTTAATTGAAGATTATACCCTCTCCATAAAAATATGTCCAATAAAAAATGGATATTTAAAGCATCACTATTGAGTTCATGCAGGAGACCTCTTATTCGTCATAACGAATACGTTTTAAAAATCATGGACTTGATTTGAGTTCTTGTCAAATGATGATTTTTTTCTTAATCCCTGATAATTTTAATCAGAACTTGGACGAAAATTCAACATAAAAGAAATGTCTGGATCAGAAAATGAAAATGAATAAAGCGAATAGGAAATATAATAGTAAAAAAAAGGAAATAATCGTATTTTTTCGGCATAATTTTTTTTGGAAAAAAAAGGAGTGAAAGGAGATTTTTGATCTCTTTCGCAAACATTTCTTCAGTCAATAAAATTTACTGTTGAAAGCCTTTCACTGCGAAATACCACTTCCAGTGAAGACATCTTTTAACTTTTTGATCCAGATTTTTTGACGTAGCTTCAGGGACAGAATTTGCGTGAGATTTTCTTTATTTCTATCGCATAGTAAAGATACCTTATTCTAAAATGAATGGTGTCCTCCCTACGAGAGGCTACGTTAATAAACGGTGCGATGTGCTGCGGTTTCTTCATTTTTCCAAAGAACTATAATTGCATCGGGCCCTTGTCCTAATGTTACTACACGAAATTTTATGGTTGTTTCATAAATGTTAAGCACTGGCAGAGCTTGGACATTTTTCGTGTGGGNGGGGGGGGGGGGGTAGAGAGGCACCTTTCCACGGGAGATCTACAGGACTCTCAAAGTTCCAAACGAGAGCTCAGGAAATTTCCCTAGCTCCAAGGGGGGTCGGGGAGATCTCCGCAATTTTGAATTTCGTTCATTTGCATGTGATGGATGAGAACTGGTCCATTCAATTCAAATCCCACAGAGAATGTCGTTAAAAGTTTGAAGCTTGGCAATGATGTTGTTTGATCGGAAATAGTTTGAGTGATGAGAGGGTCGATGCTTCGTTTGCGTGCACCGACGCACAGCGCACAGTAGATTGAAAGATGACTGTATCCGAACACGAGATCTGTGCTGCCAGGCCAAAGAAAACGCCGTACAAACAATTGAATATTGCCAATTTACCTTTAAAAATATATTCTTAAGGAGGGTGCGTAATCAATAATTTTCTCCTAAATTTTCAGATATGCTAGAAAAAATGCAAATATAATTGTGTTAAAAAAATGTTCGCAAGTTTTTGGTGATTCGTATTTCATCATAAGGGTTTTGGCAACTTTCGATTGTATAAAGGCGTTTTTCTTTAGCATCATAGCAGTTGAATAAAAGCCCATGGTCATTTGTCAATAACATATCAAAAATATCAGCGTTTTCCGACGTAATATATTTGGTAGAAGTAAAGAAGACACAGTAAAGAGGAAGTATGCCTGTTACATGTACACTCCGATTTCGCCTTCAATTTTTAAGGTAGGCCAGAATATACTCTTGTGCAGAAATCTGTTCGAGGATTCGCGTCTTATCTGAATCTTGCGGTTTTGTCCCTCAGCAAATTATCCCAAATAACGTCTCTTTACGCTCTTTAACCTAGATATGTTTTTCTATTCAGCGTATGATGAATCATAATTCATTTGAGGTGTTACTCCTAAACTGACAGGAAGCAGTGATTCCTATAAACGGAAAATCATAGAGATTGGGAGAAGGTGAATAAAAAATAGAAAAGATGGACGAAGAAGATGAAGGAGAGGAAAAAGGAAGAGAAGAAGAAGAGGGACTTTTTCCTCTGCTTCTTCCTTTTTTTCTTAGATTTCTTCGTTGTTCAATGTCCCATTGAGGGGCTTGGAGGACAAGGCGCATAAGTGCAGTTTTTTAAAAATTGAGGTATCAATTATTTCAAGTAAAACTAGTCTTTATGCAAATCCTGTGAAAAATTCGCTTCCAAGTTCCAATTTTTAAGCATCAAAAAGTAGGTTTGAACTTTCTTTCCGCCACAAGGATCCGTGTAATCTCGAAACTTCAAACTCGTAGTTCTCGAAACAGCCAAAACTGCAGTTATGCGCCTTGTCCTCCAAGCCCGACAATTGATGGAATAGGGAGACGGTTGTCCTGTACGATGGATTTTAGATTGTACGATCGGATACAGTGTGCGATTTGACAGTGTAACGTGATGAGACCGGGCTATTCGGCTGCAATGAAGAGTGACTGCGTGACGTCACTGAGCGACTGACCTCGTGTCCCGGAGCCCCCGGAGGTGATTAGACTGATTTCACTCTTTCAATTTCGGCTTCGACTGTGCCATAGATGCTGCATCTTACGTTGTTGCTACCGCCGCATGTTTCAACTTCATGTCCGCGGGCTTAGGGCTGTCTTCATAGTCGAACCTTGATCACCCCCCTACTTTCGGGATGCTCCATATAGTTTAAATTGGACTACATTTTGCAATCAGAAACTATACATTCTAGCTCAATTTAGAAACAACGTAGAATGTCACCATGGATTTCCCTTATACACATACGTGTTTGTGCGGATGAGCCAGAAATTGCAGTTCCGCTTCGCAAAATGTATACTCTAATTGGACCCTGGTAAAAATTGACAGTAGAATCTGTGTTCCAAAATACCATAGACTTACAGCCGGCTGTAAGATTTTCAATAGCTTCTATAGCCGGCAACATAATTTCTTATAGCCTTTTATAGCCGATGGTGACTAAGCAACAGCCTGGCGATAAAGTGTATGCTAAACGTTACTTATAACGGATGCTAGGACTTAGTGAGTTTTCGGACTACCGCTCTCTTTTAGGGCCGTAGTATCTTGATTTATTTTGCGAGGAAAGCTCCGTACTTTTGAGGGATGCCTGTCATTCCTAACATGTTGGAGCGCCTGTAATTTTGTATGCTACTGTGCAATACCTCTGGTGTGAAATAGTTGCTTCAAGCGCCGTGGTACGCTGCGGCGCGGCGGGCAGCCAGCGCTAAACGCGCATTGGCGCCTACAAACCTAACAGGGATACTTCACGCATTGCGCAATGCGTGAAGTATCCCTATTAGGTTTGTAGGCGCCAGTGCGCCGCCGCTCCGCTTCGTGTGAGGCTCTAATATTTAATCTCGTGGAGTCAGCGTTTTTCAACTCATGACTTTGAAATGTTCGCACACTCTATATGGATTATTCTCATTTTAATTGATGAAAAAATATGTAGTAAAGGAAAATATGATGTGCGTTTTGTAAGTATTAAAGTGATTCCGTACAAACTTAAGGATTTACAAAGCACGCGAATTTCTACACAATTGTTTATAGCCTTTTACAGCCGCGATGGCGAGAAAGCAACAGCCAGGCGATAAAGTGTAAAGCCTGGCGATAGGAACTTTATCCCGGCTGTATAATTTCTTATCGCTTCGTGTAGCCCGGCCGTATGATTTTTTCCACCTTCTACAGCCAGCTATATGATTTCCTATCGCCTTCTTCAGTCGGCTGTAAGAACTCCTATGGTATTTTGAAACGCAGCTCCAATCGCCAATTTTTACCAGGGGACATATTTCTATCGAACGGAACTAAGTGCCATAGGGGGAGGAAGGTAAAGGGGGGCTTGGATTGGCGGCGGAACCGGGCGTCGGGCTCACTCCGTCCTATACTCGCAATGCTTTTCCATAGCGCTTAGTTCAGTTTGACAGGACGCGCTATCCGGCATTCGAAATTCCTCAAGAGGAACTCAAAATGGCGCTTCGTTCCAGACAGGAATACGTCCAATTCTGAGTGAGAATGGTTTAAGGAGGCTTTGCCCACAATATGATAAAAAGACAATTTGTAAGCGAACACCCGGTAGACTTTAACAGGAATGCTCGTTCCCGGCATTTATATTTAAAATTTTGATTGTTGCTATTTACAAGTTAATTAAGGCAACGTCGCAAAATTCAAATTCCACTCCTAAACCTGTGCTTCCCATCTCCAATGTGAATCGCCCCATCTCAAAAGTTCAAAACACGTCATTCATTGTCTGGGCGCGACCTCTCAGGTGCACTGTCTTTTCAAACATTTTAGAGTGAACAAAGTTTTTACCTTTCACTCCGGCAATCTTCAAATTTAAATAACAGCAATCTTAAAGTAATCTAAAACGGTTAAAGAATTTAGTCACCTTATTTGACCGGCTATTTTCTTTCCTCCTCCTCTCCCCTTTTCTCTTGCCCTACCATCTCTCTACTTTTCCTTCTCCTCCCTCTCTCATGATCTCCTCTCCGTTTCCTGAAACTTGCCAGAGGGATTCGGAAAAATCCGGAATTTCAAGAGCTCTCCGAATTTTTCCGGATTTTTTTAAAAATATTTTCATTGTGTTTTTGGAACATTATTGGACATGATTTCAAACTCACTGAAAAAAAAAAAAAAAAAACCACATTGGATCTAGAGTCCAGACTCTTGAAAACATTGACAAGAAAAAGTACTCTTGATTCAATCGGATTTTTGCTTGAAACAAAAGGAAATCCGCTTAAATTAAGAGGCTGGGTTTTTTATTTAAGCTGGACTCTGATTGAATCAAGAGTACTTTTTCTTGTCGATGTTTTTGAGAGTCTGGACTCTAAATCCAATGTGTTTTTTCCCAGTGCTGCTGATGGAATATTTTCAGTTCTACCAAGAATAGATGAACAAAATGGATGACAACTCACCGCATTTTGGGTAGGAGATGCACCAGATATCGTCGTGTCGGACGTGGAAGGTGCGGAGTCGCTCGGCGTAGAGCTGGTACTCGTTGGGGAGGCAGCAGCCGGAGGGTTGAACCTTGATGCCCGCCGCCGGCATCAACCCCGGCCGACATCCGCCCCGGATCCGCGCGGATAATTCGTCGTCCAGCGGCTCCACCGAGATCGGCTCCATCCTCACCTGAAACAAAAAGATCCAAACGTAACCAATCAGTGCAACTCCTAAAAACCTAAAACCTAAAATTCTGCGCTGACTTCTCCACAAATTGAACCAAAATCAACAAAAAATGTGTGGTGGTTTGTGTTTCACTTCCTGAATTAACCAAAAGTAACACAAGAACGCAAATAATTTTATCAGACTGGTAGGGCCTCCTAATATAAGGCACGAAAAACGACCCTATTGACCCTTTGAGACCCTTTTTATTCCAAAATAAAAAGTCAATAATAAGAAGGATATACACCCTTATAATAAACCGAATTGGAGATATCACTTTGTTAATGTGAATCTTCAGCTGTAGTTCCGAAATAATCCACCACGTCGCGCTGCTAAAATCCGACTCCGAAATCAGTGATTATTTAAATATCACAATAGATATTTTAAATTCTAAGATGATGAAAGATGTTTTGAACCAAACGATACATCGAACCATTATCGAATAGTGTCTGTTGAATTCATTGCCGGGAATTTGGCAACATTCTGATGCTCTTACGGCTTTCCTCGTCAGCACGGGGACTACCGCGCGGCCGCCTCAGGGCGACCGAGATGGCGCGATATGTGGTGAGGGCGAGGTCATCCGCCGAAGAATCATAAAAATAGGTGCGAGCGGCGATTGGTGATTGCTGGCTGGTGGCTGCGGTGCGGTGTCTGGTGACTGGTGAGGTCAGCCACGGCGTGCGATTTGTTTGCTTTTATTTTGTTTTAATTGTTGCAGTTTAGTTGCGAAACCGAGCACGGAGCTCCGGACGCCGGAGTCCGCTAATGAGAGACGTCGACCGCGCACCGCCAGAGACCTCATCAGTAGCATGCGCTTATTATACACTGTTGCCACTTATCCCGCAACGGAAACACAACGAGGAGTAGAGGCTGAACATCTGATAAGCCGTTAGAGGTTGATCAGCTTGCCAGTAACTACCTCTCTAATTTAATATAGGTAACAATTTAATCAGCCCAAAATATGTAAATGAAATGAGAGGAACACGGGGTACAGGCTGTAAATAAAAGTAATTTGGACAGGACGTTTCGGGGTTCACATTCCCTTTTTCAACCGCCGAAAAAAAATTTTAAGGGGGAATTTAGTGGCCCGAGTATGATTCAGGAGCTTGGAGGAGTGTAAGGAGCAAGGCGCATTAGGACAGTCTCAGTATTTTGAGAAACACGTGTTTAAAGTTTCAAAATAACATGAAGCTTTACGGCGGAAAGAGAGTTTAAACTCACTCTTCTATGCTTGAAAATTGAATCTTAGCAGTGAATTTTTCACAGAATATATTTTAAGACTGTGAAGAGATGGAGAGATGCCAGCTTGAGGAGGATCTCTACCATGACAGACTCCTGTGGCAGATATGCGTCGCAGAGCGCCCTAGCGCGTACCTCAATGTTTTTCGAAAACTGCACTTATCGTCGTACCTCTGGCGTAAGGGCGTATCTCGATTTCTGGATGAGCTCCAGAAATCATAGATTTATATGTAAAACAAGGCTCATGTGGAAATTGAGGTACGCCCTTACGTCAGAGGGGCAACGTCATGCGTCATGTCCTCCAAGTATCCCTTAATTATTCTTGTCATAAAAATGAGACCAAAATTTTATGGAACATTTTCCAATAATGAATTCACGAAGCGAAGGCATTCCGGTTCTTTCACAGTGAGCAACATTGCGAGCAGTATCAGCAACGCCTGATAAGTTTTTCATTTACACTCTTCAAATTTGACCGGGAAAAAGGGGCCGGGAGAAAAGGGGAAAGTGAGTAGTCCATGTCAAGGAAGAACACCGTAGCCCTGGTAAACGTTGGCAGCAGAATGTGTGTTCCCAAATACTATAGACCTAAAGCCGGCTGTGAGATTTCCAATAGCTTCTGTAGCCGGCTGTACAATTTCTCATAGCCTTTTATAGCCGATGGCGATTAAGCAACAGCCAGACGATAAAGTTTATGCTAAACGTTACTAAATACGGATACTAGGACTTAATTAGTTCTTGGACTACCGCTCTCTTTTCATGCCGTAGTATCTTGATTTATTTTGCGAGGAAAGCTCCGTACTTTTGAAGGACGCCTGTCATTCTTAATATGTTGGAGCGCCTTCAATTTCTTATGATACCGTGCAATACCTCTGGTGTGAAATAGTTGCTTCAGACGCCGTGGCATGCTGCGGTGCGGCGGGCGGGCAAACTGCAGAGAGCGCGAAATGCGCATTGGCGCCTACAAACCTAACAGGGATACTTCACGCATTGCGCAATGCGTGAAGTATCCCTGTTAGGTTTGTAGGCGCCAGTGCGTCGCCGCTCCGCTTTGTGTTAGGCTCTAATATTTAATCTCGCGGAGTCAGCGTTTTTCAGCTCATGATTTTGAAATGTTTGCACACTCTGTATGGACTATTCTCATTTTAATTGATGAAAAAAAAAATATGTTTTAAAGGAAAATATAATGTGTATTTGTAAATATTAAGGTAGTTCCGTATCAAACTTAATGATTTCCAAAGCACACGAATTTCTACAAAATTTCTTATAGCCTTTTATAGCCAATGGTGATAAAGTGTAAAGCCCGGCGATAGGAACTATCCCGACTGTATACTTTTTTATAGCTTCGTATAGCCCGGCTATATGATTTGCTCCGCATTCTACAGCCAGCTATACGAGGATTTTCTGTAGCCTTCTTTAGCCGGCTATAAGAATTCCTATGGTATTTTGAGACGCAGCTCGTATTGCCAATTTTAACCAGGGAGGAGCTTCCAGAAGTTGCTACATTTTCCCTTTTGAAGCATTCATCATTGAGGAAAGTCATGGATAATGTCCCTTGGAATATCCACATACTTTAGATCAAAATGCGAGTGAAAATTGGAGGAGAATTTTCAAAAGTTTCTTTGAAAATTCGGTTTATACTGGAGGAAGCTAGGAGCTTATCAATCGGAAAAGGGAGTGTCACAGCACAATTCAATTTTTATATTAGGTCCCTCCTGTAACTTCGAGTTTAAGGCGTAGCTCCTCAGAAAAAACCTTGAGAAGCCGCAAAATTTTGAGCGGTTTGAAATATCCACTAGTATCCAGTAATATCCAGTATCCATTTTCCTCTCTCTCACTCTGAGACGAATGTGTCCACGCGTGCATCAGACTCGATGTAAAATTGATACATTGCGATACTAAATTCAGTCCTCCATAAATAGTATGTTCTCACCGTTTAAACCAGAATTCAGGATCCATAGGCGTGTGCAAGAAGAGGCCAGCGGACTGATTATTGAAATTGATAGACAAAGCTATAGACAAAGAAGACATAGGGAGTATGGAGCGATCCTATTGGTTGAAACGGGTGGTTCCTATAGACAAAGGGAGAAAATGATAGACTAACTGTCGGGTCTCTCGTGGGTTGCCGTTAGTTAGTCTATTGCCTACCTCCTTTGTCCATTACAACCACCCACTTCCACCATTAGGATCTCTCCATATCTCTTTTGTCTCCTTTGTCTATGGCTTTGTCTATCAATTTCAATAATCGGCCCGCCAGGGTGTGTCACGGCACACCCATGCACAAATCGTAAGCGAAACCCAAAATTGGTCCATCGTGGATTAACATGAATTTTGGAGAAATCAACGTGTCGCGCTGCGGTGAAATCCTCCGAGACAACATTTTATGGACCCGAATCTCAGTAATTATCTGCACTTTTATTAATCACACGTTAAACACGTTTCAAAACGCTTCACAAGTGATCGATGTTTAATAATTTTCGTATGTACCAAATTTTGTGGTTTTGACGCTTATCCTGATGAACTTATAAAACCTTGACATTTGGAAAGATTTAATAATTGGATGCTAAATCCATTAAAAAACAATGCATTCGATTGACGGTCGCAACTGACCCGCTTCAAACACGACCGTAATCCTTGGTTTATGATTGCAGGTACGTCGAGAATTCCGACAAAACTTCCGAGAACCAATTATCTGGACCGACTTTAACAGGAAGGAACCAAATCAAATCAAGATCAGTGGTAAGGCGTGAAAAAATTGATTATCGATATTTCCCAAATTTAAGGTATGGTAAAGAATCGATTATAAAGCTGTTCGTTGCGAACACCCTGTTTATCAATCCTTTTTCATAGTTTCAATGGTGGATCAATCAATGTATCGCAAAGCACGCCTCGCCACTGATCAAGATCGAGCCGAGAGAGAGAGATTTCAAGTTTTATTCCCCAATGATACTCAATGTCAGAGCTAAAGTTCAACGCATTTTTTTACCATGAAAAATTTTTAAACCACAGGGTGTACTTTGCGGCACGGGGGGGGGGGGCTTTGCCTGGGTTAGTCTAAAAAGAGCGGACTTGTCTAGTTTAAGAGCTCCAAAGATTAAGAACGGTCATATGACACCATTAAAGGACCAAAAAGTTTTATAATATTTTTAGCTACGCCCCTTTTTTTTGGAACCGAATATGCGCTAAAAAAATTGCCATACACCGAAACTTTAGTATTTTCCGCTGTCAGGGGAGAGGCGGTGGGGTGGGTGGGGGAGGGGTGTCACTTTTCACAACAAGCGATTCTTTTCCTCTCAACGTTGAATTTTTAACCGCAGAAAATGTGCGGATAGTTATCTCAGAGCAACCCCTAACTAATTTTCTCTCAAATGAGACGTGACTCTTTCTGTTCAATTCGGTCCAGTTAAACTCGTCCTTTTAGGAGCACCCTATACTTCAGGCTATCACTCGATTTATCGGTTGTTCAACCTCGGTAAGCACTCAGCTGTCACTCAGCGGAGACGGAAGTTTGCGGCGAAAAAAAGGGGAGAAAAAACCAAAGGAAAAAGTATTCCGTGGCGGAAGTTGGACCTTAAAGGCAATCGGTGGCAGCGGGCAGCCGGTGGTCACGCGTGGTAGCGTATCTGTGCTTTACTTGGAAAAAGTTGACAGGTCTAGGACAAGGACCTTGACTCTAACACCTTGCGTCGTTTCTCGGCACCTTTCACTGACACTGGAGTGCCCGCACCGTG